TCTTTCTCTCTCTCTCTCTCTCTCTCTCTCTCTCACACACACACACACACACACACACACACGCACACACACTCACGCAACCACACACGGCACATTTCACAAAGGTAGACTCACAGAATGCTCAGATTCGACAACTGAGCGAAGGATCCGGACTCCACCGTAGTTATAACGTTCTTGCTCAAGTGGCTGAGGAGGAAAAGAGGGCTTCTTATAGTTTGTAGTTGTAGTTAAAATGTTACGGCACTAGCAACACAAATAGGTTATATAAGTGCCAAAGATTAGAAGTGGTGCAAGAGATTAGTGTCCAAAGGAAAAGCGAAACGAAACTCAATAAAAAAAATTTTTTTAAACTTGAGGAGATATACGCACGATAGATGATTGGTTATAAAGCGATGGTAAAATATGCCGTCCAGTAGAGCATGGTAAGAGATATTTTAGGGTGTGATCTGACGGCTTGCAGTAAAGCAAATTCAGGTATTTTTAATTGCTTTTAAAAAATATTTAGAATAATTTAAATTTTAACAAAATATTTATTGAGCACTTGGAGCCGATGCAATGGATTAAGAAACTACAATATAATTTGGAAAAAAGTCGTAAAAAAAGTAAATGAACTCTGCTTGTGACGTATTTTCAGCTGGGTAGACGATATGACTGTGCCTGGCCTAAACGTTATTGTTGTTCAAATGATCAAAACTGGTTCACCAACTGAAAAAAAAAATTTAAGGCATCCCCCTCACCCATTAAACAACAAACAAAAAACAAACATACAACCTCTACCCCCCCCCTCCCACTCCCCACAATAAACCAACCAAAAACAACAAACAAACCGACAAAAACAAGAACAAAATACTTTTTTTTTAAAACGACACACACACACGAAAAAAGGTTGCACATCCTTGCTTTAGACCAAAGAATGTTAACCTGTCGTATTAATTAATTGCTTGCTCTAAGGTGGTTACTTACAAAGTGGTGGCTTTGGTGGCATAGAGGTTAAGGTGTTCGCCTTTCATTCAAAGGTCACAGGTTCGAATCCGGGTAGCGACCGAAAAATGTTCTTCTTTAAAATTGTCTTCTTTCAAATCCTTTCCTGATCTCTAGCAATATTCTGTCGTCTGCTATCGTCTGCACGTTCTGCCTCCACCCCTCACCTCATTTGCCCCCTCCTCTGGGCTCCTGACTCTTTCTGCAGCATTTCTACTGCTATTCCTTAGCTCCTTCTTACTGATGTCTTTCAGCCTCGCCCCTGATCTTCTGGTTGGAAAGATCTACACTTAGCCTTTTTGGACAAAGGGGGAAAAATCTCGGACGTCCCGTGTGCAAGTTGCGCACGTGGAAGATATCTTGGTGGTTTAAAATCGATAAGAGTAGGATTCGGCCGCCACCCGGGCAACTTTCAAAATTTGCTACCAACACAATGTTTAATATGGGCTCATCTGACCTTATGCAGTTGTGAGCGCCGCAAAACTCTTAACCCCCCCCCTACCCGCCAAAAAAACAACAAAAGAAAAACGAGCAAAAAAAAACAACAACTTACAGAGTCCTCAAGGAACTGAGATGGGCGAAGAACTGGTGTTTGATAGTCATGATGGTGTTCTCACGAAGGTCACTGAGGAATAGAGAAGAATAGACTTGTTATATTAATGCTGGTAGTAATAGCATAAGAAATAGGTCTGTGTTTAATCTTAAGTTTCAAACATGAGAGAAAATAGAATAGGATATTTCAGCCTTTCGCATATCTTTGTGTGAACTATTGTGACTTGTTCGATTGACTGACAGTATCCTTATGAATTGAAATTAGAAAACTTTCAACATTGATGTACAACGCAGAAAAAAACCTTTACATTAAAAGGCGTGGCAGATGTTACGAATAAGAATAGCATATGGTATTAAGAAAAACAGAAAAGATCTTGTAGACAGAATGTGTTAACAAGTGTTTGAAAAATACGATCATCTTTTTTCATTGTTTTAATTTATCTTAATTTTTTTGTGGTTTTTAAAAAAATTAACAATGCAATTATTACACTTTTTAGTTAGTCATGAAATGCCTTTATATTTTTTCACGTTCAAAGAACTGCAAAATAGTTCTTGATGTTATTTTTTGTATGTTGTGCTAGTGTCGGAATTCACTTAAGCCCAAACACACAAGCACAATTTCCACTTGTCGCACGGCTGAGAGTATGCAAATGAGGCAATTTTCTCTCGTTCGTCTGTCAACGCCCTCAAGTGAACCAGTGTCTGTGTTGTAGCGGTTAAGCGGTTAGTCGCTTCGACGTAACAGGCAGTAGACCAGAGTTGAAGTCCCCATTTTTTTTTTCTTTTTCTTTTTGATTTTTTTTTGGGGGGGAGGGAGGGGCAAGGAGGGGAGGTTATGGAGTATCTAGGTCATTCTGCTGTGATTTTGTATCACTTTTCTACTGATATGTTGTATCCCTTTTCCACTTGGATGTTGTAGCCTTTTTTGCTTGGATGTTGTATCGCTCTCAGTTTGGGTTGGCCTAGACAGGCAGGGTCGACACCTGCCTTCAAAGTGATCAATATTGTGCTTGTCGATTGGGGTGTGAACCACCTGCAATAAAGCACAAGTAAAACTAAAACACTACCAAGTGACGTCATATCTCGCGTCTGTGTGACAAATAGACATTTCCCCCATTCCTCACGTGGCGTGGCGCAAACGTTATTAGTTTCTGTTTCGAACTCTTGACCTTTACTCATACTAATTTTCGATTCGTTACTTCTGGTTCTTTGTATTCTCGGATAAAAAAAAGCTCTTCATTTTAGATGAATTCGTTCTTTGAACTTCTCATATTATATGGAATCTTTTCGAGACTTTTATAAAAAAGCTCCCTTGATAAGTTGACCTAGCTGATGAGCTCTGTCTTAAATAGTGCCCCTGTCAGACACGCTGTAATCTTCTTGAAAATAATAGATCTTACTTTAGTATTCCACTTATAGTATATAGTGTCTAGTGTTACATTCAATACTCTTATTATAATCTACAGCCTCGCAAACCATTAGAGTCACGACGCGCTGGAATGAGGCGACCTTCAATTTTTGGGCAGATGGCGTTACCGGTGTCGTCTTAAAGCTTGTTCATACATGTTCTTGCTTTTGATTAAAGAGAAATAATAACCCCAACTCAGAAATCAACTATCATAAATAGAAGTCGACATATTTGAGATCAGAAACGATGGGAGTCACTTGGTCTCAGAGGAAAACTTAGCGAGAAAATGGTCGCCCAAGTTTTGTGACATCAAAAGTTTGAGTATGCTTGGCAACTGCATAATATTAACATTTGTTGTGTCTTTGCCCAACGTTTATCGGCAAAATTCAAATAAAATATGTATTTGGAATGAACATCAAATGTGTTGAGCCAACCAAAATATGAATAAATAAATAAATAAATAAATAAATAAATAAATAAATAAATAAAATCTATTTATATATTGAACAGGCGAAAAACAAAATGACGGTTCCTTTGATTTTTATTATTTTGACGAGTGTATGATTTAACCACAATGCCGCACACTAATCTCCCCAAGTTACAGGCAAAAACCCACAGGCTCAGTCAGATCGAAAGAACGACATATCTATTCTGCTTTAATTAAACTTTTGACTTTTGTTTTGGTTTAAGGGAGAGAGGTGGGGTGGGAGGAGGGGGTTCATTCAGGTCAGTTTAGTCATAGCTGTAAGTAAGATTAGACCAATTTTAAGATCGACAAAAGTCAGGAACTTTCTTCTTACTCGAAAAAGAATAATCTGACATAATAATATCACCGCGTTACGTAAAATACAGGTTACATAGTAGACAGGAATCGTTGTCTTAAGCCGTGTGCAGCTTCAATTTATGGTAAAGGTGCACAATTATGTTCTGTTCTTTTCATTACATAATAATGCATTACAAATTCAAACGAAAGCAATAGTTGGAAAAATAAGCGTATTAAACTGGTGCATTTCCATACAAGATTTTGATTTTTTGAAACATCGTCTTGTTCGTCTGTTTAGAAGGTGTGTGTGTGTGATTTGGTGCCTGGGGGCGGGGGGT